CGGCACTCCCTCAGTACTGACCCTCCGACAGTGCGGCACTCCCTCAGTACTGTCCAAGTGTGGTGAATGTTGAGGGGTGTGAGTGGCTCTAAGCAACAGCTGAAGTACCTTGTTCACAAATACTTCCAGTCCCTGTGTGACAGCACATCTGGATATAAGGAATAAGAACAGGGCTGTGTGATGGATAACATTTGTAATCTCTGGCTCGTCTCCATCCTGCACCATGTTTATGTCAGGAAGTTGCTGTGTGTGTGTGTGTCAATACCTGTCAGCCTTACCCTCCCAGAGCAGCTCCTCATTGGGCATAATCCCGAGAAACTGCACCGGAGTTTTCTCAACAAGACTTCTGTTACTGTTTACAATATTCGATTAATAGAAATATCTGCATGGTGTTAATTTTTCTGAAGAAGATTATTGTAAGTTATCATTATAATGCATGTTTCGAACATGAACATATTGATGCTTAGGATTCTGCCATGAATTTACAATGTATCTATAAATTCATACCATTACCACAATTAGCAGTGAAATAGGAGTCAATTGCTGATTCTTTCTAGTAATTCCCAGATTTCACTGCTCCATGGGAATTGCTGCCTTTTCTAAAAGTGGTTTGAGAGCCCCGCTTTCCCATTTCCCAGAATAAATCTGATTGTGACAGTCTGCAGCCAACCAAGAGAGACTCTCAGTCCTGGAATAATGAGCTGCACTGACCCTGATCATAGAATCACAGAATTTTACAGTACAAAAGGAGGCCATTATGTCTGTACCAGCTCCCAAAAGAGCTACCCAACAATCCCAGTCTCCAGACCGATCTCTGTAAATTCATCCCTTTCCAATATCTATCCAGCTCTCTTTTGAAACCTCGCGTGGAATCCATCTCCCCTATTCACCCAGGCAGTGCATTCCAAATCCTAACAACTCTCTGAGTAAAGAAGTTTCTCTTCATCTCTCTCCTAGCTCGCTCACTGATAGTCTTGAAATTGTGACCTCCTAGTTACTGACATACCAACTAGTCCAAACAGAATATCTTTCTTTACCCTGTCAAAATTGTTCAGAACATCTCCATCAGTCACCTTTTAATCTTCCCTGCTCCAAGGAGAATAAGCTCAATTTCTCTAATCTTTCCTTGTATCTAAAATCTTTTATTCCTTGTATCATTCTAGTAAATCTTTTTGAACTCTCTCCAGGGCTTTTCCTTAAACAAGGTGTCCAGAACTGAAAACAATACTCCAAATGTGGTCTGACCAATGATTTGTAGGAGTGTAGCATCACTTCTTTGCTTTTATACTCTATGCCTCAATTTATAAACCCAAGGAGCCAATAAACTTCTTTCACAACTGTTTCAACTTGCCTGGTCACCTTCAGAGAATCATGTACATGAACCCCGAGGCCTCTCTGCTGTTGTGCTCCCCTGAAAGTTGTACCATTGAGCCTGTATTGTCTCTCCATGTTTCATTTACCAAATTGCATTACCTCACATTTCTCTGCATTGAAACTCATCTGCCATGTGTCTGCCCTTTTCACCAACCTGTCACTGTCCCTGTGAAGTCACTCAGCATCATCCTCACAATTTAATATTCTCCCTAGCTTAGTATCATCTGTAAATTTAGCGAGTTTGCTCTCAACACCCATCTCGAAATTGTAGATATAAATCAAGAAAAGGCAAGAGTCCCAACACTGATCCCTGGGGAACATCACTTTCAACTTGTCTCCAATCTGAGAAATGCCCATCTATCCCTGCCCTCTGTTTCCTATCTTTTAGCCAACTTCAAACTGGAACTTTCAGGTTAATACCATCTCGGACTAAAGTAAATTTGTACATGTTTAAAAACTGTACCATTTTACCCAACATGCATGCATTGAGTCCTCTGTACCTCATTATTCCAGGATCACTGTCTTCACACCTCATTATTCCAGGATCACTGTCTCTATACCTTATTATTCAAGGTCCGTATGAGATGCATCCTAAATTGCTGAGAGAGGTAAGGGAGCAAATTGCAGAGACATTGACAGAAATTTCCAAGGAACCATCAGTCCCAAACATTTCTAATTTGCTAATCAATCTGCCATGCTGCATTGTATCTAATACTTTCTGAAAGTCCAAATATACAACATCTACAGTGCTACCCTCATCCACTGCCTGTGTCGCCTCCTCAAAGAACTCATTTACATTTGTCAGACGGGACCTGCCCTTAACAAAGCCGTGTTGACTGTCTAGCATTAACTTATTTTTCTCTAAGTGTATAATTACCTTATCCTGTAATACGGCCTCCATCAGTTTCTCACTGTTAATGTCAGGTTGGCAGCTCTGTCGTTTCCTGGGTTATCATTTGTCCCTTTCTTAAACAACAGTGTCACATTTACAATCCTCCAGTTCCACCAGGACTAATCCTGTGTTCAGAGAGGCCACGGGAAATTTCTGTCAATGTCCCTGCAATTTGCTCCCTTACCTCTCTCAGCAATTTAGGATGCATCTCATACGGACCTTGAATAATACGGTATGGAGACAGTGATCCTGGAATAATGAGGTGTGAAGACAGTGATCCTGGAATAATGAGGTACAGAGGACTCAATGCATGCATGTTGGGTAAAATGGTACAGTTTTTAAACATGTACAAATTTACTTTAGTCCGAGATGGTATTAACCTGAAAGTTCCAGTTTAAATTGTGCAGTTGCCAACCTTAAGAAAGTTTTCTCTCGGTTTCCAGAGAAAGACCAGTTTAATTGAGAAGCCATGACTCAGACTGGCTGCTTTGTGTTCAGACAGAAGACAGCAAGAGTGAGGATGGGGTGTGGGGAGCATTATTGAGATATTTACAAATATTAAACATCTTGATAATACCAGGCCTGCCTTCAGAGGAGTCGGGAAACCTATGAATTTGTACAGCCCATTTCTATGCCCCTTTTAGCTTGTGAGTGTTTTCAATTCGAAAATAGAGGCCACAGCAAGGCTTTGTATTAAACAAGATGAAGGTTAGTTTATTTTAGAACAATTACTGTTTTTACTCCAGTAAAAGTGATAAAGTTATTATCTAAAACATACATATACTGAGATTACAAGGAGGTCATGAGGAAGGATATTTATAAAGATGAACGTAAGATCAGTCTCTCTGATCGTCATGGGCCTGGATTGCTCAAAGGCTTATGTTAATGTATGAAGAGGTTGAACATGGAAGCCTGATTCTGCAGCTATAATGGCTCTTGTAGTCATATGGACTCAGTAGAATTTGGCTGAGACAGAAAGGTTCTCATTGCTTGTTCTGAGGATACAGCACTTGCAGATTGCCTAGTTTTTCAGTAGGACATCAATTGATTTTGGTATACTGCCTTCTTCCTTGTGCTGCCTTTGGTTGAGGACCCTGTCTCTGATGGTGTCTTTCAGTGTTCTTCCTGGGGATGTGGGGGTGGGGAGGAGTGTGAGCTGGGCTCTATGGTCACAGTCTGTCTTATACAGATCTAAATATGAACTGGCTGCTATCCCAATACTGTTGCATCATACTTTCATATTAAGCATGAGATTGGTCTAGGCCTGGAGTATACCTCCAATCCATTTGTGTCGTTGAGGGAACTAACTTTTCAAACTGTATTAGTCATCATCTTGAACATCTCACATTGTCAGGTTACAGTGGGCTAGGAAAATCTATTCACAGCTGAAGGTGAACCACTATCAAAGGGTTTCTATATATGCCCTTGGGTACCTTCATGTTTTCTTCCTGAGATAATTACAGTCTCAACCAAATACCAGCTGAATCCTCAACTACAGTCGTGTGATTTCAGGTAGTCATGTGATTTCTGGAAGCCATTTTGTAAAATGGTTTGTCCACTTCGAAGACAAATTGTCTTTCTTCACAAAATAGCGAACATTATAACTTCATAGTGTGAATATTATAATTACACAGTCAAGGAATTACACTGGCAAAAGTGATATGAGGAAAGTTTCTTAATACATTGAGTGGTTAGGATCAGGAGCGCCCTGCCTGTTCGTCTGGTGGATGCAGGTTTAACCAAGATTTTCCAAAGAGAATGAGATTAAAGCAGTGTGCACAGTGATAGGGAGAAGGTGCTGGGTGGGATCCTCATTTGGAGAGACACTGTAGACAAGATGGGCCGAATGGCTGCCTTCTGTGCTGTGGTACTGAGACTCTGCTATTGTTCAAGAAAGCAATTGCAGAATAAATCTAATTAAACTGCATTTATTACCAAACTATTAAACATCACGTAAAAATCATCAACAGTGACAGCGCAGTGCAAAAGGAAGCACGGTTCTGCAGGTCAGGGGGTGAAAACGGATTTGCAAATCATCTGATTCACACCAGAGATCTCCGAGAATCCTCTGAGAGGTACAAATGGCCAGTTTAATCCAGGTACGGCAAGGGATTGTCTGACCATCCAATCACTGTCCTTTCTCCAGTGGATTACCTCTTGTCTAGTGAATATGACTGGATCCCAATTGGTACATTCCTGGGCTCCACATTGGGTAAGATCCAAGGGTTGAAATGAAATCACATAATTGAAGCCTGAGTGCATTACTCGGGAGAGCAAGCAGCACAGGATCGATGGGCCAAATGGCTGGATGGGCCCTCATACAGTCTGCTTCTATAATTCACTCAGTCACAATGAGTAGGAAGATCCCAGGTTCAAAGTTGATATCTGGCTTGGGGTACAGTCATTAGCTTTGATCACTGGGATAGAGAAGGGAATGGAACCAGAGTGCAGGCTATTGACTCCTGTTTGGTGACGAAAGGTGAGAGAGAGGATAGGGGAGAGGAGGGAAGAGGGGAGGAAAGGGAGAGGAGAGAGGAGTGGAGTTGGGGAGCTTATTCGACTTTACCTGATTGGCTCTGAGCAAGCACTCACAGCAGATAGGAGGGAGGGAACTTTTGAGTATGGAATACTACGGGGAGGACAGAGGTAGAGAGAGAGAGTTGGGGGGTGGGGGGAGAACAAGACAGGGAGAGAGAGTGGGGAAGAGAGGGAGCAGAAAGTATGGGGAGGGAGGGCAAGAAAGATAAGGCTGTGGAGAGAGAAGGTATGGATGGAGAGGGAGGACTAAAGGTGGAGGGGGAGGTGAAGTGTGTGCAGAAAGTGGACTGGAGAGAGAGGATGGTGTAACTGAGATGTTCAAGACAAACTAAAGAGTTGATAACATCGACAGAGAGAACGTGTGGTGGGTTTGGTACTGGGAGTCAGGAGGCCAGAACAAAATGATGTTACCTTAAGTTCAAAACCAAGCTGAGCAAGACTGACATCAGGACGCAATTCTTCACACAATGGGAGTTGAAAGCAAGAATTCCCAAAGATATGTGGATGTTGGACATCAGTTGGAGATTCCAAGATTCTTGTTGGAAGAGGGCAGCAAGAGATATGGAGCGAAGCTGTGTCAGTGAAGTTGAGGTTATTTGATTTATTACTGTGACATGCACTGCGATACAGTGAAAAGTCCAGACAAATCATATCTAACATAAGCACATCAGGGTAGTAGAAAAGAATGCAAAATCTACCGTTACAGCTACAGAGAAGGTTTAAAATTTTTGAGAAGACAGAGACGGTGCAGAGGAAGATTAACTCTAATATGAGAAGTCAGTTGATGAGTCTGATAACAGCAGGGAAGAAGTTGTTCTTGAATCTGTTAGTATGTGTTTTCAAACTTTTGTATCTCCTGCCCGATGGGAGAGGGTGGGAGAGGGTATAACCGGGGTGGGAGGGTCACAGTGAAAGCTCAAGGGCATTTTTCAAAAATCTGTCAGTTAATTGTGAGGGTCATGGCTGAGTCAATGTTTATTGTCCATCTTTAGAATGTGCCCCTATGGCTTCCTCCCTTATCTGATATTTAAATGATGATTGTCTTCTGCTGATTGGAGAAGTGTGGAGGAGCTAAGGCCAAAGATTTGGTATCCAGACCGAAATCAATGATGGCAACAACAACAATGGTTCTCCGTGAATCATAGAATGGCGCTGGACAGAAAGTGGTCATTTAGCCCATCAACTCTGTTCTGGCCCTTTCAGAGAGCAATCCATTTAATTACAGATTTCCACCAATTGGCCAAATATCTGGGAGTGGGATCAGAGGTGTCACTAGAATTGCATTATTATTGATTATTAGCAAATGTTCGTCTGGGTATTCATTCCTTTATCAGAAAGTGACATTGTCAGTGATGAGAGTCTCTGGAACAAACAGTTTTGCTTCTTTTCCTTGTTTCCAATCCGTTGCTAGTATTCGACGGTGACCGTTTTGGTCCTCAGATACTCATTCAGAGCTTCTTGCCCTGTGGAATAAGAGAGGGATAGTAACTGTATTGTAAACAGCAGTGATCCATCAGCAGAAAGTGGTGCGACCTCATCTCAGCTCCTTCTGCCATCAATTGAGGAACAGGATGGAGGCCATTCTAACCCTCAAACACATAGCTGACCCTTGCCATTAAATTACAGCAGGGTTGACCTGTACCTCAATGCCTTGGTTCCAGAATGACAAGGACATGAGTTAACCCTTTTACCCCACAGGACTACTACGAGGGAGCACTTCAGTTACATGAGGGAGGAGGGTGAGGTGGAAAGGGGGAACAGCCAGGAGCCACTCATTTTGAGAAAATGATGACTTTGAGAAAATTGTGAGGCTGTTCCCAATCACTGCACTTGAAACAAACCAGTTGAAGTCACTGCGCAACATCTCCACTATTGAGCGATCTCCCAAACCCACAACAACTTCCATCTAGAAGGACAAGGGCAGCAGATACAAGGGAACACCACCCCCTGCAAGTTCCCCTCCAAGCCACTCACCATCCTGACTTGCAAATGTATTGCTGTTCCTTCACTGTCACTGGGTCAAAATCCTGGAATTCCCTCCCTGAGGGCATTGTGGGTCTACCTACAGCACATGGACTGCAGCGGTTCAAGAAGGCAGCTCACCCCCACCTTCTCAAGGGGGCAAATAAGGACGGGCAATGAATGCTGGGCCCAGCCAGTGATGTCCACTCTTCATAATTTTCTTTTATTATTAATTCACAGGATGAGTGCGTCGCTGGCTAGGGCAGCATTTATTGTCCATCCCTAATTGTCCAGAGGGCAGTTAAGAGTCAACCACATTGCTGTGGGTCTGGAGTCACATGTAGGCCAGACCAGGTAAGGATGGCAGTTTCCTTCCATAAAGGACATCAGTGAACCAGTTGGATTTTCCTGACAATTGACAAACGGGGTTTTATGGTCATCAATATGTTCTTAATTCCAGATTTTTATTGAATTCAAATTCCACCATCTGTTGTGGTGGGATTCAAACCTGGTTCCAGAACATTACCTGGGTCTCTGGATTAACAGTCCAGCGACAATAGCACTAGGCCATCACCTCCCTCTATAAATAACAAGCAATCATTCCAATAAAGTAAATTTTCATTTTAGGAAGAGATAACACAGTGTGGAGCTGGAGGAACACAGCAGGCCAGGCAGCATCAGAGGAGCAGGAAAGCTGACGTTTCAGGTCGGGATTCTTAACAATCAAAGCAAAGGAGGCACTGCACCTTGTGGTTTCGAGCAGTATTCTGTAGAATTTAGCTGGGCTCTATTCCCACACACAGCATTTATGTTAAAATAGCTAACTTTCACCTTCCCTAATCAGGATTCAATGTATGTTTTGCGTTTTGAACAGGTATAGTTTAGGTTGCATAAATCTAATTTTTTTTTAATCACTGCTCTTGTTAAAGCTAAGTGCAGTATGTTACAACAAATAGAGTTATCTTCCTGGTACAAGAGGACCTGCTGTGAGTTACTTTTGTGCTAAGTGGCAGTCCGTTGGGTAAATTGGTCAATGTGGGGCTCTGCATTGGGAATTTCCAAATGCTGTGGCCGTTTTTGGGAAAGTGCAGTGGGATTTTCAGCACACTCTTCCCTGCAACACTGTGACACCTGGGGTGGATCTTTGACTGTTTGGCTTGTGATAGTGGAGCAGTCCCGATCCAGAAGGTGTCTCTAATTCTCCTGGGTAGATACCCTACCTAGATCCTTGCCAAAGCCGGATTGCTTAAAGCCCCCGAATGGTGCAGCGACGTCAGTTTTGTTGTAGGTGTTAATGAAGACAGTTCCAGCCTGCAGTTTCTCACTGACGTAGAGAGCTTTGCTGAGATCGCAGGTGAACACGCCTGCAGCCAAACCATACTCAGTGTTATTGGCTCGACTCAGGACCCCTTCCAAATCCCTGTTGAAATAAAACCCAGGGTCAGCACAACAACATCACTTCACAATACTGAAGTCACCCTATGCCTGTAGACAGCCCAGAGCAGACTCATCGGCACAGCTATTAAACATTTAAAGCATCCACCTTCCTCTCTCAGTCTGCCCTGTGCTGCTAACATTTATCACATGTCTTTTGTGGTGAGCGGGGAGCAGGCAGTTTGAGAGAACCTACCCATTTTGAAATTTGGAGATAATCATGATCGGGCCAAAGGATTCCTCCTTCGCAATGAACGTATCGTCCTGTACATCAGTGAACACAGTTGGTTCAAAGAAAAACCCTGCAAAAGAACCAGAAACTCACAGTGACTGTACAAAAAATATACTGCCCCTGTCCTGGGAATGTACAATGGGAGACAGTGCAGAAGGAGATTTACTCTAACCCTGTGCTGGGTCGGAGGGTCAGTGCTGAGGGAGGGCCGCACTGTCGGAGGTCAGTGCTGAGGGAGCGCCGCGCTGTTGGAGGGTCAGTGCTGAGGGAGTGCCGCACTGTCAGAAGGTCAGTGCTGAGGGAGGGCACACTGCCAGAGGGTCAGTGCTAAGGGAGCACCGCACTGTCAGAGGGTCAGTACTGAAGGAAGTGCTGCAGTGTTAGAGGGTCAGTGCTGAGGGAACATTGCACCGTCGGAGAATCAGTACTGAGGGAGGGCCACGCTGTCAGAGGGTCAGTGCTGAGGGAGTGCCACACTGTCGGCGGGTCAGTGCTGAGGGAGCGCTGAGGGAGTGCCACACTGTTGAAAGTGCCGTTTTTCATAGTAATCATTTCTGCCTGAATCAACAACATGAACACATGGTATCGAGTCATTGCTGGAGTACAGCTTGTGGGATCTTGCTATGCACAACTAAACATCTATCTTCCTGAATACAAACAATGACAATACTTCATTAAACGCTGGAATGGCTCTATTTTACTATGGGGTATTCCAAGTTTTTGGAAGGTGCTAAAGAATTTCATATAGACCAGTGAGCCTTACTTCAGTTGTGGGTAAAGTGTTGGAAAGGATTATAAGAGATAGGATTTATAATCATCTAGAAAGGAATAATTTGATTAGGGATAGTCAACACGGTTTTGTGAAAGGTAGGTCGTGCCTCACAAACCTTATTGAGTTCTTTGAGAAGGTGACCAAACAGGTGGATGAGGGTAAAGTGGTTGATGTGGTGTATGTGGATTTCAGTAAAGCGTTTGATAAGGTTCCCCATGGTAGGCTATTGCAGAAAATACAGAGGCTTGGGATTGAGGGTGTTTAGCGGTTTGGATCAGAAATTGGCTAGCTGTAAGAAGACAGAGGGTGGTGGTTGACGGGAAATGTTCATCCTGGAGTTCAGTTACTAGTGGTGTACCTCAAGGATCTGTTTTGGGGCCACTGCTGTTTGTCATTTTTATAAATGACCTGGATGAGGGCGTAGAAGGATGGGTTAGTAAATTTGCGGATGACACCAAAGTTGGTGGAGCTGTGGATAGTGCGGAAGGATGTTGCAGGTTACAGAGGGACATAGATAAGCTGCAGAGCTGGGCTGAGAGGTGGCAAATGGAGTTTAATGCGGAAAAATGTGAGGTGATTCACTTTGGAAGAAGTAACAGGAATACAGAGTACTGGGCTAATGGTAAGATTCTTGGTAGTGTGGATGAGCAGAAAGATCTTGGTGTCCATGTGCATAGATCACTGAAAGTTGCCACCCAGGTTGATAGCATTGTTAAGAAGGCGTACAGTATGTTAGGTTTTATTGGTAGAGGGATTGAGTTTCGGAGCCATGAGGTCATGTTGCAGCTGTACAAAACTCTGGTGCGGCCGCACTTAGAGTATTGCGTACAGTTCTGGTCGCCGCATTATAGGAAGGATGTGGAAGCATTGGAAAGGGTACAGAGGAGATTTACCAGGATGTTGCCTGGTATGGAGGGAAGGTCTTATGAGGAAAGGCTGAGGGACTTGAGGCTGTTTTCGTTTGAGAGAAGAAGGTTAAGAGGTGACTTGATAGAGACATACAAGATGATCAGAGGATTAGATAGGGTGGACAGTGGGAGCCTTTTTCCTCAGATGGTGATGGCTAGCACGAGGGGACATAGCTTTAAATTGAGGGGTGATAGATATAGGACAGATGTCAGAGGTAGGTTCTTTACTCAGAGAGTAGTAAGGGCATGGAATGCCCTGCCTGCAAAAATAGTAGACTCGCCAACTTTAAGGGCATTTAAATGGTCATTGGATAAACATATGGATGATAATGGAATAGTTTAGGTTAGATGGGCTTCAGATTGGTTTCACAGGTCGGCGCAACATCGAGGGCCGAAGGGCCTGTACTGCGCTGTAATGTTCTATGTTCTATGTTCTATATTATTTTTGATCAGTCATCTGTCACAGGGACAAGTGGGATTTGTCTGGATGCTGAGATTATTGTTTGTGTAAACCCTGCTACATTCACACACCAGGTCTCAGGACTTGCTTCCCTCCATATGTGAGCGTGGCCCCTTCCTTCACTCCTGTAGCGCAATACTCAATCAGTTTGTCCAGGTGGGCCTTATGGTTCTGAGGCCCATGGTCTGTTGACCTGTCCAAAGGGTCACCAATCTTCATTTTCTTTACTTCTTCAACCTGTCAGATAGTAACAAAGAAAGAGGATAGAAATGAATTCTGAAGAAGAGTCACATTGGACTCGGAAGGATATATTAGGGTAGTTTCTAGATGGTACAAAGTTAAATGCAGTGGATGTCTAAAGAGACTTGGGGTTCAGGTGCATAGACCTTTAAACAAACAGGTGCAGAAAGTAGTCAACAAAGCTAATGGGATGCTGGTGGACTGGACTACAAGGATGCAGAAGTCATGCTGCAGTTATACAAAACCCTGGTTAGAGTCCAAGTGGAGTACTATGAGCAGATGTGGGCACCACACCTCAGGAAGGATATATGGCCTTGGAGGGAGCACAATATCAGTTTACAAAAATGGTACCTGGATTTCAGGGGTTAAGTTATGAGGACAGATTATACAAATTAAGCCTGTTTTCTCTCGAACTTAGAAGGTTAAGGGGTAGTCTGATTGAAGTCAGGGCTTTTTCCAGCCCTGTTTACGGGACCACTAAAACAACTAAAGATTTCTTTCCAGCTTTGGTGGCCTGGAAACTGCCAAAATTATACTGTTTTTCTGCTGGCACAAATCTTTTCTTCAGAATTGCAACCTGCTTCAGTCCTCTGGCCCCTTTATTGTAATAAAAAAAAGCTCAACCACACAAACACTTCAGGAACTATCTCACCAGGTTATAGTTAACTCACAGAATTCCTTGAAAAGAAAACACGTTACCTTTACCGAATTGAAAACTAAAAGCTTGTTTAACTTTACTTTAAAACCAAGTCCCAAATAATAAGAATATACCATAAGCCTTCATCAAGCTTCATACTGCCCCCTAAATATAAAGGTATCTTCAATAGCATTTTCATTTTCTAGTAGCAATCCCCTCATCACTATTTCTATTTAAAATTGAAACTAATATTATAATTTACATTAAGCACACAGGAATTTCCATAACAATCATATTCTAAGCAAATTTTTGTTGATGAATTTGTTTTCCTCCACATCTTGAATAAAATCTGACTATAACACTCTCTTCCCACTGCATGCATTATTTTCAAATTGTATGGTTGCAGCTTTAAACTCCAACAAAACACACTCAAATGTTTGTTATAGAATCAGTCCAGTAAAGGGGGAGGATTATTATCCATATCAGGAACATTCTCTGAAGAATTTTCAGGTATAACAAGAATATTACTGGGGAGAAAAAGGATTAGATCTTTCTTTTTCTTGTTTCCAAATTGTCTTTTAAATTTATATATTTTGTTTAATAAACATATATTCTTTTGTTAGTCAGTGACTGACCACCATGGTGAACAAATTGGGGTTACATTTTGTTTAAGTCCTGGAATAGGATTTAGTGTCTGATGTTAATGTCTGAGGGAGAAAGCGATTCTGCACTGATCCAGGGTTGAGACAAAGTGGGGATTAAGTTTTGCTCTACATTCTGAGTTGAACCACTGTCTGATACTGAACTTCATTGAATAGGCAGAGAACTGTCAGACTCACCACTTTTTGCAGAAACTGATCATGAATAGATTCTTCGACGAAAAGCCGACCAGCAGCAATACAGTTCTCTCCCTTGTTGAAAAACACAGCCCCCATTCCCTACAGAGAAAGCAAATGTTAAATGTACATTTACATGAATAGCCATCACACTGCCTGGGAGGGGTATTGAGGCAGGAAACCTCACAACCTTCATAACATTCAAGGCTATGGGTCTAGTGCGGAAAGGTGGGGCTAGTTTTGGGCCCCATATCTTGGGAAGGATGTACTGGCCCTGGAGCGGGGTCAGAGGAGGTTCACGAGAATGGTCCCAGGAATGAAAAGCTTAACATATGAGGAACATTTGAGGACTCTGGGACTATACTCATTGGAGTTTAGAAGGATGAGGGGGGATCTAATTGAAACTTTCAAAATACTGAATGGCCTGGACAAAGTGGATGTTGGGAAGATGCTTCCATTGGTAGGAGAGACTAGGACCCGAGGGCACAGCCTTAGAGTAAAGGGAAGGCCTTTTAGAACGGAGATAAGGAGAAACTTCTTCAGCCAGAGAGTGGTGAATCTATGGAATTCACTGCCACAGAAGGCTGTGGAGGCCAGGTCATTGAGTACATTTAAGACTGAGATAGATAGGTTCTTGATTATCAAGGGGATCAAGGGTTACGAGGAGAAAGCAGGAGAATGGGGTTGAGGAACTTATCAGCCATGATTGATTCGTGAAGCAGACTTGATGGGCCGAATGGCCTAATTTCTGCTCCTATGTCTTATGGTCTTATGGATTTAGTGTGGATGGTACAGGCAGTGAGCGGGTTTCGAGTGGATCTGTTCATGAGTCCATTTGTAAATCGATTTGAACCAGTTGGATCTTTAAAATTACAGCCCTGTATGGGACTGTGCTTGTAAGTACAAGCATTCATAAGTTGGATGTTGGTAATTCAGGGACCCCCGGAGTCTATTTTTGGCAGGATGGGTTGAAGGGTTCTTCTCTCCTGTATTTGTATGATAGGTAATATATTCCGGTCCTTTGATATTGGTACACTGCCATCACTGCCCACTCACAATATCAGCCACAATGTTGGACTGGAGTTACGTATGGATCCAGGCCTGGTAAGGAATCATATAATCCTTACAGCATGAAAACAGGCCGTTTGGCCCATCTAATCCACACCGACCCTCCAAAGAGCACCCCACCTAGACTCAACCCCCTACCCCGTCCCTGCAACCTTGCATTTCTCATGGCTAGCCCACCTAACCTGCATATCCCTGGACACTTTGGGCAATTTAGCATGGCCAATCCATGACTGTGCAAAGAAACTGGAGTACCAAGGGGAAGCCCATGCAGACACGGGGAGAACGTGCAAACTGCATGCAAACACGGGGAGAATGTGCAAACTGCACACAGACACGGGGAGAATGTGCAAACTGCACGCAGACAGTTACCCAGGGCTAGCAGGTGAATTCCTGGACAGACATTAGTCAACCTGTTGGACTTTTAGGATTATCCCCTAGATTAATGATTACCTCCTTCTCCTCCTACTCCAAAAATGACCCAGATTCATTTTTAATTACTTGTCTTAACTCATGACCAATGAATTATTATCAGTTACTCTAACATTAACCTTTAGGTAATCCAGTCTTGCAGTCTAGCTTCCTGTCCAGTGAGACTGATCCCTGCATTTCTAAAGATTATGAGCAGTTCATGGCAGAATCAGAAAGAGTCCATCACTTCTTCAGTGATCTGGGATTGTATGTGTTAAAGCTCACAGCCTGCATTGTTTTATTATCAGAGAATGAAGAACACAAACAGTGGATACAGAGAATGCTGGAGAAACTTGGCATCTATGGGGAAACCAAATTCACATTTAAAGTCCAATATGACTCTTGTTCAGAATTCTAAAGTAAAACTGTGTTTCTCTCTCCACAGATGCTGCCAGACCTGCTGAGTTTCTCCAACAATTTCTGTGGAACTTTGCTTTTATTTTAGACATTTTGTTAAAACCTTTAAAAAGACTGGGTAAGCCTCTGATGGGGAATTGTGTTTAATTCTATATCTGACACTTTCATAAGGATGGCAATGTTTTGGAAAGGGTGTGGTGGAGATTTACCAGAATGAGACCAGGACTCAACGTCAGGAATGACGTGGGGGGTTTCAGCTATGTTCGGAGAAGAGAGGTTAGCGAAACAGCCTGAGTGGAGGCTTCACAGAGGTGTTCAAAATCATGAAGTTTTAGTGTGCACAAGAAGAAACTGTTCCCATTGGTTGGAGAGGTAGTAACAGGCAGGAGTGGCTCACCAATTAAAAATAAATGTGAAAAAATCAGAAGGGGAGGATTTTTAGAGACTTCATTGATACCATTTGGAATGCTTTGAACGTGAAAGGGAATTGGATATATAAATAAATTGGGTAATATTTTCAGGACTTTGAGCAGATTGGGGTAATGGAGAAAACTGGCTAGCCTATCAAAGAGTTCACCTGATGAAGGAGCTGTACTCCGAAAGCTCATGATTTCAAATGACCCTGTTGGACTATAACCTGGTTTTGCGTGACTTCTGGTTTCGTCCACCCCAGTCCAACACCAACACCTCCACATCATATCAAAGGGTTAGCACTGGTGCAACAGACCAATTAGCCATTTGATATGATTCAATGATAAAAACAAAACAACCCTGTACTCCCTGCTCAGTTCGAGTGAAAGTCATTTCTGAGTAAGGGTCTAGGCCCGAAACATCAGCCTTCCTGCTCCTCTGATGCTGCCTGCCTGCTGTGTTCCTCCAGCTCTGCACCTTGTTATCTCAGACTCGAGTATCAGCAGTTCCTACTATCTCTAGTGAAAGTATGTCTGGTTCCAAAGTCTTCAATGCACAGTCTGGCCATCAGTCCTTCAGAAATATTCTCCAACTGAACATTGGGAAGACCAAAACCATTGTGTCCTGTTCTCATGACTAAACTCCTCTCCCTAGCCCCAGTGTTCGTCTGAAATTGACTGCTCACAATCTCATGTCCAACTTTACCCTGGGTTGAGTTTCTGACCCCGTTATCACTTGGTCTCCAATTCAAGTCCATCTACTTCCAACCCAAATATTGCAGCTCCCTAACTCTGAGTCAGCGCTGCTGAAACTCTTTACTTTTGTTACCTGCAGTTTTGACTATTCCAAGGAGCCAGTTATAATGTATAAACCTGAATGTTGGGCATTAAGAGGTCTTTCAGACAAGGTGTGTATCGTGATCCTCACCTGCCCCATCTTCATCTGACAGACACATGTGTACTTTATAATTGGACAAAGTGGACAATAATACCCAAGCAGGAACCCTGGCTGCCCGGCATGGTCCTCAGTTCTTTCTGTCTCGTTAACTTTAGCAGCCGTGGCCCACACCCCTCCCCCATTAGGCCAGCCCAGACTCAGGGACACAGTCTGTGTAGCTGCGTTCAACATCCGGCAGTGGGTGGGTTGAGGGACGGGGAGGATATGAGCAGAAAGTGCTGCTTTGAGCCTGCAGTCCAGTGTTTCCCTGTGTGGAGAAGAAACCATCTCCACTCTGTCTGGGTGGGACATCACATTTACCCCCATCTGGGGTTAGTCTCCACTCTCCTCAATGAGGAGTGAGGTTCGATGGAATATGAAACTAGCTCCACTCTCAGTCCAGTGTGTTGGCTGCACAATGGCTTCGGTTAGAAGGAGCCCTGCTCGTTTTAGACACTTCAGACCCACAGTTTTGAGGTTAATCTTCTTACCGCACGCACAGCTTTGACTAAGTCGCAGTCACTGAAGATGATGAGAGGAGATTTACCCCCCAGCTCCAGAGATACTTTCTTCACATTAACCAAGGCACAGCTGCAGAGAGAGATACACCACCATTTAAAGTAAAGAGAAAACCCAGGTTCATTTTTAAATTTCATGAAAGCACAACCATGCCTCTACTTCATCAGAAAGCTAAGGAAATTTGCCATGTCCGCAATAGGTCTTACCAATGTTTATAGACGCACCATAGAAAGCATCCTATCCAGGTGCATCACAGCTTGGTAAGGTAACTGCTCTGCCCTAGACCGTAGGAAACTACAGAGAGTCATAAACATAGCCCAGTCCTTCACACAAACCAGCCTTCCTTACACTGACTATCTATACTTCATGTTACTTTGGGAAAGCAGCCAAATTAATCACAGACCCCTCCCACCCTAGTTATACTCTCTTCCACCCTCTTCCATTGGGTAGAAGATATAAAAGTTTGAAAACACATACAAACAGATTTAAGAACAGCTTCTTCCCTGCTGTTATCAGACATTTGAATGGATCTCTCAAATGTTAATACTGATCTCTCTCTCTGTACCTTCTCTGTGGCTGTAACGCTGCATTCTGTACTCTGTCCTGTTACCCTGATGCACTCTGTACAGTATGATCTGCCTGAAGAGCATGCAAAACAACACCTTTCACTGTATCTCAGTACATTTGACAACAATAAATCAACCAATCTAAAAAAACACACACATCCTGGTTTTCAAATCGCACTGTTCCCTTGCGCTTCCCTAACTCTGTAACCTCCAGGCCTGCAATATTTAGTTGGCTGGTTTGTGATGCAGTGTGATGCCAACAGTGTGGGTTTAATTCCCTGAATGGCTGAGGATACCATGAAGGACTCTCCTTCTCAACCTCTCCTCTCCCCTGAGGCATGGTGACCCTCAGTGAAACCGCTCCCCCTCCCCGCACCCCGCACCCCCCACCCCACCCCACAGTCATCTCTCTCCAATGGGAGAGCAGCCCTATGTGCTAGTAGGACTTTGGTGACTTTATTATTTATTTTATTCTTCCAATATATTTTATTTATTCTCTCATGGGAATGTGGATGACATTGACAAGTTCAATCTTATTGCCATCTCTACCCTGGAGAAGTGGTGATAAGCTGCCTTCTTGAACTCTTGTAGAGATCCCCACATTTTGGTTAGGGAGGGAATTCCAGGATTTTGACCCGACAGCGAAGGAACAGCGATATATTTCCAAGTCAGGATGGTGAGTGGCTTGGAGGGGAACTTGCAGGGGATGGTGTTCCCATGTATCTGCTGCCCTTGTCCTTCTAGATGGAAGTGGTCGTGGGTTTGGAAGGTGCTGCCTAAGAATTATTGTTGAATTTCTGCAGTGCATCTTGTAGATTGTGCACATTGCTGCTACTGAGCATCGGGGGTGGAGCAAAGGGTGAACTGTGTCAGCTCTAAAGCAGGTCTCCTACAAATTTCTCAAGGAGGAATGATATGAATGGACAGTAACATTTAAGAGTGAATTTTAGAAGATCACAATTCCAATTTGGATGTTTACTGGTTTGGAGATTTTCACTCTGATACTGGAGTTTGAATCCAACCTGACTGATTGAGGTCAGTCAACCAAAATTCAGAGATTTGATCCAGTCTAAGTGAAAGATTTAGCAGTTAAGGTAGTGAATGGGGCAACATTGAAGATCAGGGTGTAAGTATTGATGAGGACTCGTGCTCACCTCCAAATAGCGGTCAGGACATTTAAAAAAATTTGATTCCCACTCTACTATTACCGTCAAGCCAGGGGATCAATCCTGGTTCAATGGAGAGTGTAGGAGGGCATGCCAGGAGCTGCACCAGGCATACCTGAAGATGAGGTATCAACCTGGTGAAGCCGCCAAACAGGACTACTTGCACACCAAACAGCGAAAGCAGCAAGTGATAGACAGAACTAAGCAATCCCACAACCAATGGATCAGATCTAAGCTCTGCAGTCCTGCACATCCAGTTGTGAATGGTGGTGGACAATTAAACAACTGACTGGAGGAGGAGGCTCCACAAATATCCCCATCCTCAATGATGGAAGAGCCTGGCACATCAGGGCAAAAGATAAGGCTGAAGCATTCGCAGCAATCTTCAGCCAGAAGTGCCGAGTGAATGATCCATCTCGGCCTCCTCCAGTGGTCCCCAGCATCACAGATACTAGTCTTCAGCCAATTCGATTCACTCCCCGTGATATCAAGAAACGGTTGGAGACACTGGATACTGCAAAGACTACGGGCCTTGATAACATTCCGGCAATAGTACCGAAGTCTTGTGCTCCAGAACTTGCTGCTCCCCTAGCCAAGCTGTTCCAGTACAGTTACATCACTGGCGTCTACCCGATAATGTGGAAAATTGCCCAAGTATGTCCTGTACACAAAAAGCAGGATAAATCCAACCCGGCCAATTCCCGCCCCATCAGCCTCCTCTCGATCATCAGTAAAGTGATGGAAGGTATCAGTAACAGCGCTATCAAGCAGCACCTGCTCAGCAATAAACTGCTCAGTGACGCCCAGTTTGGGTTCTGCCAGGGCCACTCAGCTCCTGACATCATCACAGCCTTGGCTCAAACATGGACAAAAGAGCTGAATTCCAGAGGTGAGGTGAGAGTTGACAGTCTTGATATCAAGGCTGCATTCGACTGAGTGTGGCATCAATGAGCCTGAGCAAAACTGGAATCAATGGGTATCCCGGGGAAATTTTCCACAATGATACAAGAAGGCAGCTCACCGTCACCTTCTCCTGGGCAATAAGTGCAGTCTAGAGAGCAACACCTGCATTCTGTGATTGAATAGAACATTTATCTTTTCTTAAATAAAAACTCTCCTTTGATAAAGTGAAGGTGATTTGCTGGTCGCACTCTGCTCAGTTTCACAGTTACCTTTTCATGATTTGTTTGCCGACTGGGGTTGATCCAGTAAAGCCAAGCTTTCTAACATCGGGATGGTCAGCTATTCTCTGTCCAATCAACGAACCTGCAAACAGAAAAGTGGTCTCTGACCAAACAGATCTAAAACCAGACATAGGAGCAAATTACTGCTGATGCTGGAATCTGCACTAAAAAGAAAATGCTGGAGATCAGAGTGTGTCAGGCAGCATCTATGGAGAGGGAGACAGCTATCTTTTCAAGTCCAGATGATTCTTCGTCTGATGAAGAATAATTTAGACTTGAAACATGAACTTGCTCTCTCTCCATAGATGCTGCCTGACGCACTGTTATCTCCAGCATTTTGCTGTTTTCAAATCTAAAACCCCAGTGGATCCTCACAGCAATACTGCAGGACATGAGGGTGACATCTGATCACTCAACCTGAGCAGCTCTCACTTGGATCAGGAAGAGCTAACAAATGTTTCTCCGACAGGAAACAACAAAAGCTGGAGATCACAGTGGGTCTAACAGCAGCCATGGAGAGAAAGCAAGTTTCAAGTCAAGATTCTTCTCTGAGGCAGGTAGTCGTCATAAGTTCAGGTCCCACCCCAAGAGCCTTGAGCCCATCATCCAGAGACTCCTAATGCAATGCTGAGGGAATGCGGCTCTGTCCGAGGGGCTGTCCCTAATTTGAGACCTAAACCCAGAGGCTTATCCCTGAGCTCATATTCTGCAGAGGGACAGAGGAGTCTTCCTGGGTGATCAATACTAAAACCTCAATCAACGTCACTCAAATCAGATTCTCATGCTGTTATCGTAGCACTAGTTGTGAAATCGTGTTGTGTGCAAATTGTACACAGGTTTTCCTACAACAATGAACATTTTCAAAAAGGCCTTCATTGCCTTTGAAGCCCTTTGGGATAACCTGAGGATGTGAAAGGTGCTATGCAAATGCAAATCTTTCTCGTAGCTGATTACCCCAGTAAAGGAACAATCTCAGCCAATGATTCCAGGCAGAACTTTCCATTCTTGCCCAGGTGATTATTCCAGATTTTCATCATTTTTAGAGATAGTAGGAACTGCAGATGCTGGTGAATCTGAGA